TATGAATTTTGCTCTCTTCACCCTAATTTTAAGGAAAAGTACCCCGGGGCGGTCTGAAAGTAGCCCACCCGTCTTCTTCTACCATAAAACACACTAGAGGAATTTCGGCCTGTCATATACTATTTAGAGAGACGCCATGCCTGAAAGACTAAATAGACAATTTCAACTTCCAAGCCTTATCCGCGATTCGAAAATGTTTGTTTTGAAATTTTTTTTGTTATATATATATATATATATATATATAATATAGTTCTGCGTTTCAAGATGAAATCAACAATTAAATTTGTAATCTGCTCCTGTTGTATTCATTCCATTAATGCTAATGAAAGTCGGGGCAAAATTTCGTTTGGCAAATAAGAAAGTTAGATTAAGATTCAAATTAAGCAAACCTAAATTTAACAGTTAAGCTTACTTTTTACTATACGTTAGGCCGGATGTTTTGGCCGGCGCCATTTCCCATTTCGCCGGCGCAAGCGATAAAGTCGCCGAAAATGGTAGAACTGATGCCAACGTGAATACCTTCGCTGATAACCTTTCACGGCACTTTTTCAAAACAAGTCGCTGAGATTTATTATCAGATTTACCTTTTGTTTTTGTTTTTGTTTTTCAATATTGGCATACAGTTACATTGAATTTTTTTAATTATAATATTGAAATAATTCTTGCATTTAAACTCGTATTCCATACTGAGATTTAACTTGAAATTAATGTAGATAATTCCTGAGAGAATCAGATTTTTGTAGCGTATTTTACGTGAGATGAGATCGTTTGGGATCACGTGGTATTAACCTGCGAATCAAGAGGTTATGCCATGAAAGCATAGTAAATCTTTAATTTAACGTCTTTTACAAATATGTCAAAAATGGATGAAAAACCAATGAAAATTTGGGATTTGCCCAGGACAGAGGAAGAATCCGTCAGATTCTTTCAAGCGAAAGGAGTTTTGCCTAACATTGCTATTTGTGAAAATAATCATGAAATGAAATTATATTTCGGAGACGAAATTCAATGGCGTTTCAACCTTTCAACTTGCCGCAGTAAAAGAAGTATACGGAAAGGCACATGGTTTGAATCATCGAGATTGAGTTTCTTGAAGTTTTTAAGATTCATTTATGGTTGGAGTGAAGAATTAACGGTGCTACTTTGATAGACGGTTGCACGGATTTTTGGCGATTTACGTTGGCGCAATTGTTGGCGCGATTTCTACAAACGTCAGCCATCTTGAAAAACGCTGTTTTTACGCATAGTAAAGTATTCGAAACTTAAAAAAAAAAATAAATATCGTTAGAAAATAATGGATTAATTTTTTTTGTTGAAAATGTCGTTTTTTAAGATGGCAGGCAAGTGTAAATAAATACATTTACTATGAGTATAAAATACTAAAGTAAGGTTATTATTACTTTCATATAGCAAAGAAGAGAATAAAAACACCGCTATAAAAACACTGTGCCAACGTTTAATTAGATTAAAATATTACTGAAATTGAATATCGAAATAAAAAACATCATCCAACATTTAAAAGAATTAGAATATTACTAAATTTAAATACTTTAAAATACGTTATATAGAATATAATATATATATATATATATTATATAGAATAAATACATTTACTACAAGTATAAAATACTAAAGAAAGGTTAAATTATTACTTTCATATAGCATAGAAATAGAATAAAAATACCACTATAAAAACATTGCGCCAACGTTTAATTGGATTAAAATATTACGTAAATTGAATATCGAATTAAAAACCATCATACCAACGTTTAAAAGAATTAAAATATTACTTAAATTAAATACTTTAAAATAAGTAAATAAGAACGCTTCGTACACTAGAGCTAAAATGACAGCAATTAGTTTATTGTCGGTAAAAAGGAGGAATGTCTAATAATTTTCTTACCGTTACAGCGGTTATTTCTTCCAACATGACCACAATATCATATACGGCCGTCTCAGAATCGGCTCTTCTAACGGTCTTCATCTGTGATCTACACTTTCGCACTTCATTGAAGAAACAATTAGCGACGTTTCCTTCAAAAATTTAAAATAAATTTCCTCTGACCCTTGTAAGAATTTATAAATAAATCCTAGATTAGGAAAGCCAGGCTGGCGAAAATAAGGTCTCAAAGGACAATTTTTTGATTCCGAAACCAAAAAATTCTTGGTACTTATCAAAAACAACATAATACAATACAATACAATTTTGTAGATCCGGAAACTGGAACACACACGCAAAAAATTGAAAGACTATGGTGGAATAAGAAACACAGAGGAACTGCTCGGCATCATCTGGAAAGTTACCTCGCCGAATTTATGTGGCGAAAGGACACAAAAGACCCATTTGAAAAACTTCTAAACGATATTAAAATATTTATGACTCCAAAATAAAAAAAAATGTTTAAAATTCTTAGAATTAACAATTCTTAACATTTTTTATGTGTATACTGTGTGTTGTCGCCAATAAGGTCTGCTTGGCGAGATTTGCGCCGGAGAAAGGGAAATGGCGAGGTTTGCGCCGGCGAAACGGAAAAGTACCCAAAAATGTTTAAATTTCACTGCTATCTGAAAACTTAAACTTATAGTCTAATATCTTGAAGAGTTGGCTGTTTAAATTTTATTTTTTTAAATATTTAAAATACAAACAAATATAAAACTCACGAGATTAAAGAGAAACTGCAATATGATCTTAGGATGTGGTTTTCAGTTTATAATTTCTCAGATCATATCAAGCAAAATAGTAATGACAGGCCAACAAATTAAAAAATTCATCCCCAAAATTCCTCAGGTAAAGATGATAAACTCATGTAATTAAAAGGATCTGTTGAGAATATCAGTGCCAAACAAAGGGGGGGGGTAATTGGTATGCTGTTTAATGCTACATCGAGACTGTTATTCCTAAAATACGTGTTTGTTGCTTTTAAATCGGTTAGTTTATCACTCAAGATTAAATATGAAAGTATCTTAGGCTTCACTGAATGGCAACACGCTAGTGCGTGTGAGATGAAAGTATTGTATTTCCGGCCGCGGCAATACATTGCTTTCATAGAACCGAGTTTGTTAATTAAAACTAAAAATAAATACCTTACGTTTTTCCGAATGACAATAAGTCTTTCGTGCTCAAGATAAAAATGTACCGTACAATGTTGCCACAGCTCGCTTTGTAACCGTTGAGATTGTTAATAAAAAATTCGTTATATGTTTACAAAATATGAAATAGTAACAGAAGAAATTCGAAATTAAAAATTCGTACAGCTAAGTGTGCTCATGTTCGGGTGGAGAACGGCGTTATTCAAAATTTGATGGATCTAAGTACCGCCGTTTCTCCACAATGCAAGACACATGTATACAATTATGCAGATTCTTCATTACTGAATTTCTTTAAAATTTATACGGGGCGATAATATTTGGTGGCAACAATTTGAAAAGTGATAACCCGTTTACAGTAAACTGACACAAAATCCCATTTCCAGACTAAAGCCTCTGTTAGGTTTGTAAACATTTACAAATTCAATAAGTGACTGCAAATTTAAAATTCAATCAAATACTCTGTGAAAAGAATTATAAAATAAAATACACAAAATAAGTAAGTAAATAAGAGTAATACACAACACTGAGAAAATGCATAAAAACCAATCTGCAAACAAATAACCACAAATATTCAAACAAACTTACAAAGATATTCTGAATCATCACACTTCTCCGAATATCACTACGCTGACTGATTACTGCCAGATTCATGAGATATTTTCATCAAATCCATTTCATCTTGAAGTCTTGAATTTCCCGACTTTTAAATAGTTTCTTATTTGGTTGCGCGTATTAATTTGTGCATATTCATAAAAGTTTAACACATAAAATCTTTACATTAGACTAATATTCCGATTAGTTCATATTAAGCAACAGCAAAAATACAGTTTTCTGGTTGTTGTTAGAGCATTTCACTAACTGAATTGTTTTATTATTGGAGACAATATAAATATTCGATTTTACGTTTGTGAATCTTTCCACTGCCGTGCTCAGTTATTCACAAAATACTCATAATTTCGAGAAACGTTTTTATAGTTTTTACATATATACTATTACTACATATAACATTTATTTTTCATTTCAAACTGAAATAAAATTTATCTACCCACACATTATTGAAATAAAATAAAAACTAGGTACTTCTTAATAAAATTTCATTTTTGATTAATTATTAATTCTTATTAATAAATTTATTTAGACTTTTGAAAGCACAAACGTATAACTACTCCAATTTAAACAAAACTGCAATTACAAATTTTATATAAAAAATTCTTAGAACATTCTTCTGAAGTTGTCATTGAGACAAAGCATAACTCTGTTTCCTTTATTTGTGGCTCGTTATCTTTATTTTCTTTTTTCGTCTGCGAAAATCATTTTAATTTTACGTTTCACAAAATTGTACAATGATCAACATGTTAAGAAGTGGTAGGAATTTATTCTTATCTGTCCTAACACTATACATGTTATCGTTTACTATAAATTAAATAATTCATAAATATAATAAATAAGTTACTTATATTATTTATCTTATTCATAAATTTAATAAATAAGATGCTTATAATAAATAAGATAGGTGACTTACTTTCATACTAGTAATTAATTCCCATCGCGATCTCAATATTAGGCATAAATTTATATGATTATAAGTAACAGATTTAAAATGGGCAGAATGCTTAATTAAATGGGCAATTTAAAATAAGTTCAAAATCCTCGCAGTATCACATCTAAATATATATATGATATTAATGTAGCTTCGACTTCTTTGTTTTAAAGTAAGCCACATAAATGAAGTGTTTTCTAAAAACTAAGCTTTATTTCTCAGAAAGTTCTCCTGTCACACGCACCTAAGAAGAAAAATGAAAAGGTTTCTGAAGTTTTAGAATGTGTTGTTTGAATAATGAAGATGAATGCTGTTTTCTTGCGTTTTAAATGCATCTACACAAATAATTTCTCTGAATGTATCTTTCTAGGTAGTTACTCCATGTGGAAAACATTAAGGACTCTCACGTCAGAATTTCGTGACTAAATTTGGATTTTGGAATTTCAAATATTTCATCAGAAAGAATGGAATTTCAAAGGAAGCGAGAGCGAAATCTTTTCGTTCAACGGGAAAAGTTCAACATGAGATATCATTATGCAGAATGTTTTTAGAAATCGGTTAGAAAAATTCAAATTTCTCGAATTCATAAGGAAGTTGAAACAGCTGCGTTACAAAGAAAGTGCGTGAAATATGTTTATGCAGTAAAATCTGAAGCTAAACATTCATTTAAATAAAATCATAAAAATAAATTTAGAAGAATATATAGAGTTTTGTTTTATTTGGAGAAAAATACCTTTATAGGTTTTGTTATTAGAAAAAGCATTTTAAGTTTTTGAAAAAGGCTTCCTGCAGTCCTTTTGATGTGTCACTCACTGTATTTACTATAATTTGCTTTATTTTGATTTTACTCCACGATAAGTGCAATTTTCTTAAAGTGAAAAATAAATTAAAGTTACAGATTTGCAATTTGAGTTTTCAGACCCTAAATTAAAATTTTAAAGAAACTGTGATATATTTCTAATTGATAGCAACGTTTAAGTTCACTTCTTCTTATAATCAGTATTTAATTATATATGTATGCAATATGAAGACTTAAAAAATAAAATCTATTCTTTTCGTACGATGAAATATATTTGCACGTGCCAATCTATGACACGCTAACTTAACAGCAATTGTAAACATTCGAAATTCTGCAAAAATACCATTGATAAGATAGAGATAAGCTGCAGATTCCTAAAATTGTGTCTTATTGTACACTCGAGGGCAAAATTAATAGAATTTGCATATTATGTGTATTTTTACGTATCGTATTCAACCAAAGTACTAATCATGCCTGCAAAGAATTATGCTAATATTCAAAGTCTAATACATAAGTGTATACAAGCGGGTGTCTGCTGAGCTGTGTTTATGGAAAGGATATAAGTGAACGAGGGCTTTTCAACGATGTGTGTACTCGTATTCCTTCACTACATTCACCCTGTATCTCGCAATAGTTGGGTAAATATTTTAAGAAATCAGGTAAAATGAGTAGCCAACGAACGTATGGATGGCAGAATGAGGTGGTGAGTTGTCAGTAGATTGGACGCAGGCCAATCACAAGGGCATGTAAATCACTGAGCTTTGTAATCACAAGGTGATTACAAAGCTCAGTGTAACCCAGTGTCATCTGCCATTTGTGGAAACAATTTCAGGACACTGGATGTGGTTACACAGGACTGCTATAGCTTCACAGCTCTCATGTTAGCCGTATGCTGCCACAGGAACTTTCCACGCTGCTTTTCACCGTCTACAGTGTCCAAAAGGCTTATGAGATAGGCTATTTGTGTCTCGCTCACTGCATCACACAAGACACAGCGCGTTTAGCGTGGCGCAATCACCTTGTGCCTTGGACCAAAATTCAGTGGAGCATTGTGCTTTTTACAGATGGGTGGATATTTTGCATGGTCACTGATTATCGGCGTAGCAGTATCTGGAGAGAGCCCGGAACACAATACCATCCCTCCCTCAGCAGGCAAAGGGATCATTACGTATTATGATGGTGAAGATGGAATGGTTTGGGCAGGCATTATGGTGGACGGCCGCACACTCCTGCAGTTGCTTGACAAAGACTCACCATCAGGTATAGAAAGGAGATCTTAGAGCCCTATGTTCGACTTTTCAGGGGCGCAGTTTGTCTCCGGTTCCTGTTAATGGAAGACAAGGCTCATCCGTATAGAGCTCAGCTGGTCGACGATTAGCTGGAATATGAGGGCATTCGCCGCATGGATTGATGACCAGCCAGCATGTCTGGACACTCTTGGGAAGCCATCTCGCCATTTCCCTCTGAGAACCAGCCCGGAATTGAAAACCACAGGAACTCCTCAAATATCTTTTGCCTAGTATACCGTAGCGCTGCGTGACCTGTCAGGCTATGAGAGGAGACCATACCCCATATCAGAATCAATTTTAGTTCGATACCATAACATTGATTTTGGGCATTGCTGCACTATGAGCTTCACTGAAAATAATGCTTTAAAATGACTTTCGAATGGTGCATCTTTCTCTCTGTTATAAATATCTATTTATGCTAAATTTCATTAAAATCTGCCCATTAGTTTTTCAGATATTTGACATAATGTGCAAATTTTCTTACTTTTCCACGCGAATATATTTTTATTATCAAGACTCGTATTAAAACTCACATTACAGTTTGAATAAATTTAAAAACGAAATATGCAGACAATTGCATTCTGTATTTCATTAGAGAATTTCATCACATAAATTAGATTTTATATTTTATGTAGTCGAGTCCATACACAAATTTAGAGTAAGAAACTTTGTTTATTGCAAATTAATATGGCGTTGAAAAGGCAGTATTGGTAATACTAATGATATAAATATTAACAAAGATTTTTCAAATTATTATTAAGATGTATAATATAATTAGCTCAAAAGGTTATTTATCTCGAAGCAAGATTTTGCATTTTTTCACTTTAATGCGTGTTTTCACTTTTGATTCGAGTCTTGCCTAGGAAAAACATAAGATATTATTCTTTCACATTTAATCTGTCTGCTATTAATTAATAAACTAAACTATTTAAAAGCAATAAATGCAGTTCTTTAGAAAATATTTTTTTTATTTTTTCAAGCTGATTGATTTAAATAAAAAGGCATTAAGTACATGATAAATAGCTATTATAAACATTAAATATTTTAACACTTTTCAAATGTATGGAAGAGATATAATATTCCGAAGTTAGTCTAAATGCATATTCATTTAATATCCTGTAACATGTGCGCTATACCAGTTGGTCCATCTCTTTTGATAAACCGTATTAAATTTTCAAAGAACACTTTTGGGCGATGGTTAAAAACTGAACTCGATTTTTTTATTTTGACACCCTGTTGATTTTATAAAGTGAAATATAAGAAAGTAGATTTTATGTTTCGTCGAATCAGCAACTAATTTTGTATTTGAAAGACTAGAGTTTTACCTTTCACTTAAAGCGAATATCTGAATTTAGATGTTAATAAAAAGCACACTCGCATGCTTGCACGGAAAAAAATTATGTACAAATTTTTATATAAATGTAAATTTTTAATTTCAGTCTTCTTAAACGTTTCTTTAAAAATATTCTTACCTTGGATTTTGCATAGGGAAGACAGGAATGGCGATCCATTTTCATAATTTAATTTTTTGTCTATTTTAAACGGACATTTTTATAAAATGTATAACAGAATTATTGCCATGCCTATTCTCTACAGAATATGATATTTTTAATTAACTATAAATAATGTTGAGCCTAAAATTTCAGAGTTCTAAAAATTTGCAAATCTGCTTAAAAATTAGGGACACCAATAATATCACAAAAAAGTATAAATTTAAGTTATTATTGTATTTTTAACGTAAAAAAGTCAGAAGTTCTAAACACCACTGTAATAAAAATAAGTGAAACTTTAGAAAATGATAGCAAATCTAATTGGCAGATACACATTATTATATCACATCAAGAAATACCAGGTTTCTTTGAGCCTCCATAATGAACAATTTTCTTTTGCACTGAGAATCTGACAATCTGAAAATCATTCACACTCAAGCATTTCATTAAAATTCCAGGAGATATGTTTTGTATTTATTATATGGATTAAATCCATATTGCAAGAATAATTTTCCGAAACATTTCATAAAATCCTTTTGCCTTTATTACGTAGAATATTTTCATTGGGACATTTGATCCCTAGAATCATGTATCCGTAGAAAAGTGAGATCAAATATTCTAACTCTATGTTTTAAATAAAAATATGTTGTAGATAGTAAATAAACGTAATTAATTTTTTGTCAAAATCATAATTGTAGAGCAAAAGTTTATATTTTAAAACAATACAGAATTAATTTGTTCAGATGGGAATAGTAAAAAGCTTATATCATAATATTAGTTCAAAGGGGCTTTGTCCCTGAAGGTCTATTATTTTCGTTTTGCGATTTTGCGTTGAATCACTATAAATGTCTATTTCACTTTTCAAACTGTTGCCATCAAATGTTAGAGTCCTGCATTATATTTGAAGAAATTAAATAATGAAAAATCTGCATAAATGTATGTATATTTCTCGTATTGTGATAAAACAACGGTACATAGAGTCATCGAATTTTGAATAACGTAATCCTCCAACGAATATGAGCATGTGGAAGACCAAATTTGAAATTTGAAATTTGTTTTATGATCGATTTCCTATTTTTTAAAACTTTGACGAATTTTTGATTAACAAACTCAAGGATTTCAAAGCGAGCAATGGCAACGTTGTGCAGAAAAAACATTTTTTTTTATCTCCAGCGCGTGAGTCTCTGTATCGGAAATTCTAAAGATATGCTCGTTTTAAAACTATTTTGCGATATTGCTGTTGCACTGGATCTTATGGTTTAAGTGCGAGGAACATGATATTTAATAAAGAAAGGTAACACACAAAATGTTAAAAAACGCCCCTTTGGACGTAATTTAAAATCTGAAACATTTCAGATTTTGTTATAGTTTTTTTTTTTTTTTTTTTAATTTTTAACGGTATCTTCTGTATTACAGGGTTAATTTCTTTGATGATTACTAAGTGTAATTGCAATAGAGTTATAATAAAATTCCAGGTTTTCTTACAATTGCGTGTTTATTTGAGTAATTAATCCTCAATCATTAACATGCAACAATATAATATCGGTTTCATTCTTTAGTATTAATTGTAATATTCTAAATACTGAATTCATGAAAGACATGCAAAAGTAGTAACTATGTAAATAATTTAAATAAAATGTGATGAGAAAAAAGAACTCATATCAATAGAAAATTTAACTAATGCGCATCATCTAATAAAAATTAAATATACAGTTTAAAATGTATTTTCGAACTATTAAAATCCAAATAAATAATAGCATTGCACTTCTTCGTGATATATTTTATAAGATTTTACCTTGAACATAAAATACCAGCTTATAAATTTTCTTTCCAGAGAGAATTCATGATCTATTTTTAACCGAAAATAAAGTTTCCGAAACAGAAATGGAATATTGTTTTTTAAATATACATTCCAGTATTTCGGTACTCTAGAGCAAGAAACTGAAATCTGAAGTGGCAAACCGAAAAGAATGCCATTCCAAACTTGAACGTTTTTGCATTTAATGTAGCGAGTGTTATATATCTACATATATTAAGTATTGGGTTGGAGGGAAAGTTCTGTCGTATTTAAAAGAAAATATTTGAATTCATTTATAAAAATA